TAAAAGGATGAACAATACAATAAAGTAAGGTTCTTTAGTCTTTTTACCACACTTTCTTAATCTTTGTGCCCAAAAGAAACAATACCATCAAATTGGGACGGAGGGAGTATTACTTTTATATACAAATGCTTTAGAGCCCAAGCTTCGATTAAACCCGGTCATATTCAACCCGGTCTAAACTTTAATTATTCGTAAGTACTATAAAGTTAAAAGTTATAGGCTAGAATCTAAACTTATGTTTTAGTTTTTCTATAGAAATTGATTAGTTTTGACGTGTTAATATATCAAAAAATATTTTTTACAACTACTTCAACTCTAAAAAAACTAGTTTCCTATAAAAACTATAATTAGGGTTTTTTTAAAAAACAAACAAAACCACTTATATTAAAAGTAACTCATTAGCCAAAGGGCTAACAATACAATCCGGAACATCATAAAGAACTCTCTGGTTTGAGATGCTAACATGTGCTCTCGCCAAGGTGTGGGCCGCATGATTCGCAGACCTTCTACAATAAGAGATATCATAAGAACTCTTTTCCTGAACTAAGAAACGAATATCATCCATAAGAATATCCCTATAAGCCACCCCTCCCCCTTTTCTCAGATTTTGAACAACCGTTTGAGCATCGGTCTCAAAATCAACCAGCTCCCAGTTTTCTCTCTTGGCCGCATGAACTGCTTCACGTAAAGCGAAAGCCTCGGCCTCCTCTGGATCCCATCCCGCCTCGTAGGAGCCTCCCCTAGCCTTCACAAACTCTCCCGCAGAATTTCTTGCTACCCAACTCCAAGCTTGAACCCCTCTAACCAAATCGAAAGCTGCATCTGTGTTAACCTTAATTCTTCCCGGCCCCGGTCTTGTCCAGCCCACGCCTCCCGGATCTGTGCAGCCGCTCGTGGTTGCCAAGGACTACTGCGCGTTTCTCCATGCAAGCAGCACGCTTGCGCAACAGTTAATTAGACCTGCTGGTTGCTGCCACTCGTCATTCCACACCAAAGAATTCCGCCACTTCCAAATTCGCCAAAGTAACATAGCAACTTTGCACCGCAATTCCTGATCCGGCCTCGACAGAAGATTTTGAACCCAACTAACCAACGAGGTGTTGCCACCCGCAATGCTCACCCTAACTGAGTTCCAAACCTTGGCCGCCTTCGGGCAACGTCGGAGGGCATGGTTCGTGGTTTCTTCATCCTGTAAACAAGCTTTACAAAAAATTTGTAAAACAACACCATGTTTCTCCAAATTTGCAAACGATAGGAGCGAACCATCAAGTACCTGCGAGATAAAATATTTGATCTTTGGAGGGATTTTCAGCCCCCAAAAATCCTTCCAATCGTTCCACACCTCATCAGTTAGTCGAGACATAAGGACTTTATAGCAACTCCTTATTGAGAAATTCTCGTTCTTTTCCTTCAACCACCAGACACTGTCCTCCCTCTCCTGAATACTAATGGGAATGCTATAGATAATTTTCTACTCCTCCGGCGAAAAAATAGCAGAGATCCTCCCCCCCCCCCCCCACCCCCTGTTCCACTTGTTGCCGTTATGATCCCTCAGGGCCGCAACAGTCATGTCCACCACAAAGGGTGGCTTAGCCGAGTGAACTCTGCCATCCGCCATACCCGGTAGCCAAGCATCTCCCCAAACCCGAACATCACGCCCGTGGCCCACCCGATATCTCACATTTTTCCTTAAAACCTCTTGAGTTTCAAAAATACTACGCCAAATATAAGAGGGGTTATTTCCCAGCTTAGCTTTGAGGAAATCCATACCTGGGAAGTACCGAGCCTTTAAAACCCGCCTCATTAAACTCTTAGGATTTTGAAGAAGACGACATCCTTGCTTAGCCAGCATTGCTAAATTAAACTCATGCAGTTTCCTGAAGCCCAACCCTCCCTCACATTTCGGTCTACACATAGCTTCCCATCTTCTCCACCGAATACCCGATTGCTCAAATTTGGAGCCCTTCCACCAAAAACCATTCATTAGTTTCTCAACTTCATCGCTTAAATTCCCTGGAAGAAGAAAAACATTCATGGCATCGTAGGTGTTGCTTGCACCACATTCCGTAGAAGCACCGCTCTACCTGCTCTAGAAAGAAACCGGTTATTCCAACTTTTGATAAGATTAAAAATTCTCTCCCGAATAAAACCCAAAATAGCCTTTTTCCGCGCCCAACCATATTGGGGAGCCCCAGATACTTCTGTTGTCCACTACCATGAGATACTCCAAAGGAATTGCAACACTGAATACGAACCTGTTCGGGTACATTCTGACTGAAGTTGATAGATGACTTAGAAAAATTAATAACATGTCCAGACCACTCCTCATACTTCTGAAGTATCGATCGAATAGCACCGCATTCACTAGCAATAGCCTTGAAAAATAAAAAACTATCGTCGGCAAAAAATAGATGAGACACCCTAGGTGCCCCACGGCACACCGCCACCCCATGAATTGCTCCTACCTGTTCTGCCCTTCGCAACAGAGCACTAAAGCCCTCAGTCACCAGAATAAATAAATAAATAAATAAATAAGGGGACAGCGGGTCATCCTGTCTCAGTCCGCGCCCCGGAGTAATAGGTCCCAGAAAATCATTATCAAATTGGATAAAATAGTGCACTGTTCTGACACACTCCATAATTATCTGGATCCACTAAGCCGCAAAACCCATTTTCAGCATAATCCCTTCTAAATAATTCCAGTCAACCCTATCATAGGCTTTACTCATATCAAGTTTAAGAGCACCAAACCCTCCTTACTCTCCGTCTTCCTTCTAAGGAAATGTTGCGTCTCAAACGCAACGATAATATTATCCGTAATAGACCTTCCCGGTATAAAAGCACTTTGACTTTCACCCACAAGGCCATGCAAGATAACTTTCAGTCTATTAGCCAAAACTTTGGCATAAATTTTATAAACCACGTTACATAAAGCAATCGGCCTCCAATCCCCCATACAATCAGGTTTATCCTTCTTAGGAATTAGCACAATATTTGTAGAATTTATGTGATTAGCTAATTTACCTGACTCGAACATCGATCTACACAGGGTCGAGATATCCGGACCAATCACATCCCAATAGGCTTGGAAAAAAGCTGGATTCATCCCATCAGAACCCGGCGCTTTGTCCGAATGCATATAAAAAGTAGCCGCCTTTACCTTCTCTGGACAGATGGGTTTCAATAAAGCTGAATTCTGCTCAGCCGTGACCTGACAAAAATCCCCTCTAATATAATTTGGTTGGCCGGTGTCATCATACCTGAACAGCTCGGTGAAATAGTTATGCACAATCGTGCTCATATCCCCTCGGTCTGTTATCCAGACACCATCACCCCGTCGCAATCCTACCATAGTATTTCTCCTCCTTCTTTGCTTGATCGCATTATGAAAAAACTGAGAATTTATATCTCCCTCTTTGAGCCAAAATTCATTGGCCCACTGCTTCCAGAACAAGCTCTCCTTTTCGAGGAGAGTCTGAAGAACCGAACGAACTCTCAAAAATTCGTCAACACTAGCTCTGTCTTCTTTACCTCACAACCATGCAAGTCTTCTTTTACATGCAAGAATATGCTGCCTGAGTCCTCTCTTGTTACCTCTGTCCCAACGTAAAAGCTCAGACTCGCAGAAAGAAATGTGCTCATTAATATGCATATGGGCAGCCGCACCCCAACTAGTGGTGACAATCATGCGGCAATCCTCCTCTTTGACCCAACTATTTTCAAATTTGAAACATCTGACCCTCTGGTGGTGTGGGGAACTCTTTAATTCCATAACAAGCGCCATGTGATCACTGGTTGGGGCCTCCACTGATTTGACCTGAGCCCCCGAAAAAATATCCCACCAATCATCATTGACCAGAAACCTATCAAGCTTAACCTCCACCCAGTAGTTAGTATTTTTTTTCCTATCCCAGGTCCACTGATATCCTGAGAAAGGAAAATCGCGCAAGCCACAACTGTTGACCGCCCCTCTAAAGCCACGCAGACGCCATGGGGGATGGGAGACGCTACCTTTTTTCTCCGAGTCATAGAGGATATCGTTAAAATCCCCCATCATCATCCACGGGCCACGAACATCATCTGCCAGATCCTCCATCAACGCCCATGATGCCCTCTTCCTGACTGTTTCGGGGAAGCCGTAAAAGCCAGTTAGACTCCGTATAAAATAAATCAATTTCAAAATCATTAGTGTTATAAAATCAGTTTCATACAGAATATAATCTACTCCGTATAAAATAAATCAATTTTCAAAATGCACAAACACTTCCCCCCACTTTCAGGATAAATCAGTAAACAAAACAATCCCCTGCTGACTCTGTTCCTCTGTAACTTCCAAATCAAATAAGCCCTCAGTGAAAAGGTGTGTACATTAGGCAATCCACCACTCATTAATTAATCATTATTGCAATATACTTCTGATGACAAGATTTTAAATTTTGATGCTAAGATTTTAAATTTTGTGTGCATAACATTTTGATGCTAAGATTTTAAATTTAAGATGACCATGGACACCGATACGGTGCGATTCTGAGCCACTACCAATTCAACGATTCTACATTGACCGGTCCTAAAAATAGAGATAGACAAATTTCATGTCTTATTCTGGGCCTATTCTTATCCACCACCAGTCCCCCCAGTTTATTTACTTTTTATACAGAGTATTTTTAAAATCATTTATCCTTCTCCTCATCTCCTTCCCACCTTTTCAGCTTTTAACTATATCTCACCGTCTTAAATTGCTAAAAATGCTTGGTGTACACTTTTTTATGTACGCCTTCCATACATTTGGCTGTATTGTCTATGGACAAACAATTCTGTGTGCGTGAAATAAACGAGTGTACAAAAGGTGTACACCTAGGCACCTAGCACATCTGTAAATTGCTTCCCGATTGACGTAATGAGAGAAATGGAACACGAGCAAGAGCGGGTCAAATGATCCAAAAAATTGAAGCCCGGGGCTGTCCGTACCCCGATCTCGAATAGAATTGAAAAAATAGATCTCAGTCCCAAACAATAGAACTGAAATTCATTATGTGCCATCTGAAATTCTGAATACAATGAACCAGGGAAATGGAGGCCCAAACCACAAGTTTACAATGAAATAGGCAAATACAACTAACTCCTTAGTCCTCACCCACCTATCAAATTAGACAACTTTTCACGTCCTTGTGAAAATTTGCGAGTTAAAGTTAATACCCTCCTACTCATGAAGAAAGTATCATTTCGGTATTTCCCATCCAAATACTATTTTGATTAGTAGAAAAAAAACAATAAAATGCAGACTAATTACAAAGTCGATTATAATCTAATCTTGATCAACACCTTAAGTTACTGATACTGCGATGATCCACCTTGTGCTAATTAATTAGTTGATTGATTATTGTGAAAAGATCTTCCACAGCTTCCTTCTGAACTCTATTGTCAAGTAATCAAGTATCAACTACTCTTTTCCACTGCAAAATCCAGTGCCACTTTCAACCTCCTCCATTTCCACTGCAGCCTCCAGATCCAGAGCCATCATCTTATTATCATCAGCTTTATGGTCTTCCAAGCTGCTCTGTTCACTCTTGCTGGAGCTTGCCAAAATATCTTCATCTGATGGGGGGAAATCATTACCGTCTTTACTTGGGAGCTTAAAGTGATGAGCAGTTGGCATGATGAAAGATGGCACAGCAGCATGACTCGGGACTTGCCTCGTCCTTAACCTTTCCCGATAACCCTCCAGCTCCATTCTGTACCGTTCTTTGTCTTTCATAGCCCTTTCCTGATATATCTGGTTTCAACAAAATTTCAAAATTTCATACCGTTCTTGGGCATCAAGAATTATTTGGATATCAATAAATATTAATGAAAGTTGTATTCTTTGTATTTGTTATCATTTGGAAAATGAAATATGATTAACGTTTTTACATATATATGCATTTAGTGATCTAAGCCTTTCACCAGGGAAACAAATATAATGAGTTTGAAGAAATACAAAACCAACATCCAAGTCAGTCCTAAGAAAATTTGGGGTTGGATAACACGAACAGTCATATGAAATTGGAGCTACAAAAGAATAAAAAAGAGATCAATCCTCCACACGTATATTCTCCTTCCACTTTGCTCTCTCCAAAGTCATACTCCAATCTGACCCAAGAAGTACCATATCATTCTTTGCCACTCTAATCCAGGTTGTTTGGACTAATATTTTATTGTAATCGTATTTCTTAACAATTTTTCTTTCATTTCAGTGTTTATCAGTAGTTTCATGCTTATATTCTTTCCCTTGTATTTTCTGAGTTCCATACAAAGTTGAGGAGTCCATTTGGGACTCAGGAAATGCTAGGGCAAGAACTTACGGGGTATTTTAGAGACAAAATATTTCTAGGGCGGGGATGCTTCTAACTCAATAAATCAATTTTAGCAATTTCATCAGACCTCTGTTTATTTTAACATTATACTAGTACTACTCATTATCCTTTGCACTTCCAATGCAAAAACAAACATAAGAGATATACCATTCGTAGACAATTTTTATCAATTCCTACATTTTATGAGTTCTAAACATACTGTTAAGGAGGCGAGAGCTAGCCCTAGTCCAGGGATGCGTTCGAGATATTAATCGGGAACGAGAAAAATAATCAGCAGAGTTTAATGAAGCTATTCTTGTTAAACTAATCGGCGCCCGACCTTGTCAAGACGCACAAATTAATTCTCCAAAAACGTACTTTATTCCATAGCAAAAACCCCTTTATATAGAGAGGCTGCTTAGAGTTCTAAATAGGAAAGAAACAATAATTAGAAAAAAGACTAGAATCAGGACTTAAAAATAGAATTAGGAAACAGTATCCTTGTTTCCCAGTTCAGCCATATAAAGTAACTAGAATAAGGAAATAAACTATAATTAGGAAACCAACTATAATTAGGAAACCAACTAGAATTAGGAAACTATATCCTATTCCCAACTTCAGCCACTTCCAGATGTAGACTCTCGGGCCCTTGGACCATTTATGCGTCGTTTATAAGCGTGACCCCAAAAAGAGTCCACAACATCACTCCCCCCGTTAGCAAAGAGCTTGTCCTCAAGCTTAAAATCCGGATAAGCCTTGCGAAATGACGCCACTGTTTCCCAAGAAGCTTCTTCTATGGGCTTCTCATGCCACTGGACCAGCACCTCCATTACCCCGCGATTCAGCCGACTGCGCAACACTGTGGATGGCCTCAAAACCTCTGGGACAGTATCTTGTGGTGGCAAGGAACCCATGGTTTCTGGTACGGGTCCTTTGTGTGGCTTTAGGAGAGATACATGAAAGACATTATGTATGCGGCTCTCTGTGGGTAACTGTAGCTTGTATGCCATTGTACCAATCCTTGCGGTGACTTGAAAGGGACCATAAAATTTCGGCAGTAACTTGTGGTGACGGGAGACTAGTGTTAACTGCCGGTATGGATGCACACGTAACCAGACCCAATCACCTACCGTGAAAGATAACTCGCGGTGCCCTTTGTCATAATATTGTTTCATGCGGTTCTGTGCGTGAGCTAATCGTAGTCTAGCCTCAGATACGATGTTGTCGCGGTTCAGGAGTTCCTGCTCTACGCCTTCTAGTTTAGCTGTTCCAGGGGTATATGTCACCAGTTTGGGGGGGATCTCGTCCATAAACTAATCGGAAAGGGGTGTCACCCAAAGCTGTGTGGTAAGAAGTGTTGTAACAATACTCCACCCATGGAAGCCAACGAACCCACTCGCGAGGGTGTGCGCTAGTGAGACAACGCAAGAACATTTCTACCGTTCGATTGACAATTTCTGACTGGCCATCAGTTTGAGGGTGGTAGGCCGACGAAAAGGCAAGTTTGGTTCCTGACAAACGGAATAACTCCCTCCAAAAGTTACTCACAAAAATTTTATCTCTGTCTGAGACAATGGATTCTGGTAGTCCGTGGAGTCTGACAATTTCAGCAAAAAAAATCCCTGCCACCGATACAGCAGTGAAAGGATGACTTAAAGGGATAAAATGTGCAGCTTTAGACAATCTGTCGACGACCACGAGGATGGTGGACTTGCCGTGAACCTTTGGTAAGCCTTCCACAAAATCCATTGAGATATCGGACCAGATGTGTTCTGGGATTGGCAACGGTTGGAGTAATCCTGCGGGTTGTAAGTTTAACCACTTGTGTTGTTGACATGTTTGACACTCGCGGATATAATTTGCCACTGAATTTTTCATGCCGGTCCAATAAAATTCACGCCGCAGACGCTGAAGAGTTTTTGTGATGCCTTCATGTGCCATCTCGTGGAAGACTGATAAAAGGGTAGGTATTATTGTGGAGTCGGGTAGCAGGAACAATTTGTGCTTGAAATAAACCAGACCATCATGTGAGGTCCATTCAGAAGTGCGATTACCGGCTAGAATTTGGCTTTTAATATTCTGAATTTCTGTAGACTGTGATTGGATCGCTCGAATCTCATCCAACAATGTGGTAAAAGGAATTGTGAGAGCTGCCACAGCAGGCTCCAATCCGTCATGTCGAGATAGAGCATCAGCAACAGTGTTAAGGCGCCCTGGTTTGTATTCAACACGAAAGTTAAATCCCATTAACTTGCTGAGCCAGTGTTGTTGGGGGGACGTAGTCAAACGCTGGTCCAATAAATGTTTTAAACTGGAGTGGTCGGTACGGATAAGAAATTCTTGACCCCACAAATAAGGTCTCCAGTGAGTCACCGCTTTAGCCAACCCGATGAGTTCCCGTTCATATGCGGCTAATTTCACGTGGCGGTCTGCAATTTTACGGCTGAAATAAGCGATTGGGTGCCCTTCTTGCTGCAAAACAGCCCCTATGCCACTCCCAGAAGCATCACATTCCACAATGAAGGGTTTAGTGAAGTCTGGGAGTTGAAGCACAGGTGTGGTGGACAAACGGAGTTTCAACGTTGTGAAAGCTGCGTCTGTTGTTGCATTCCAGGTGAACTCATTCTTTTTCAAGAGTTGGGTTAAGGGTGCCGCAATCTCTCCATAATGTTGAATGAATTTGCGGTAGTAGCCAGCTAACCCCAAGAACCCTCGTAAGGCCGTAGCAGAAGTCGGAGTAGGCCAATCACGGACTGCCTGAATCTTTATCGGATCAACTTCCACTCCTTTGCTGTGGATGACATGCCCTAAGTAATGCACCTGGGAGGCCCCGAAGCTGCACTTGGACTGTTTTAAGAAGAGACCATGTGATCGTAACAGCTCTAGGACGAGGCGGATGTGATACATATGCTCCAACCATGTCTTGCTATAAATGAGGATATCGTCAAAGAAGACCAAGACAAATTTTCGGAGATACGGCCCAAATATATCATTCATTAAGCTCTGAAACGTGGATGGTGCGTTAGTCAGACCAAATGGCATGACGAGGAACTCAAAATGTCCATGATGTGTTCGAAAAGCTGTTTTCTCCACATCCTCGAGGGCCATGCGGATCTGGTGATATCCCGAGCGTAGGTCAAGTTTCGTGAAGTAAGTTGCTCCGTGAAGCTCATCCAATAGCTCATCAATTACCGGAATGGGGAACTTATCTTTAACAGTCTTGGAGTTTAACTCTCTGTAATCAACGCAAAAACGCCAGGACTTGTCTGGTTTACGTACGAGAAGTACCGGAGAGGAGAATGGAGATCGGCTTGGTTGAATAATCCCTTGCGTCAACATTTCAGCACATTGTTTTTCAATTTCATCTTTCTGGAAATAAGGGTAGCGGTACGGACGTACCACAACTGGACCCGTGCCTGGGAGTAAGGTAATGCGGTGATCACATGCACGCTGGGGTGGGAGGCCAGAGGGGTTGTGAAAAAGATCCTCAAAATGCAATAGAAGCTCATTGAGAGAGGGTTTAGAACTGTCTTGGCAGATTGCCATGTGAGAGACAGTTGAAACATCGGCCCCACAACCCTTCCATGTCACTGGTTTGCCATTCCAAGTAAACTGCATGGAGAGTTTTGAGAAGTCCCATTGTATGGAACCAAGCCCACAAAGCCATTGGATGCCCAAAATCATATCAAAACCGGATAACGGTAGTACATAAAAATCTGCATGAAAGTCATCTTGATTAACAGTGAACGGAAGTCGCGAACATGTACCAATGATGGGTACTCGGTCTCCATTAGCCACCAAAACTTGTAGGCGGGTGCCCGAGTGCTGCTGCAGGGTGTTCATGGGGACCCAACGTTGGTGGATAAAATTGTGAGTACTTCCTGAGTCGACCAAAACCTTCAGGGACTGTCCAAACAAGGTTGCGGCTAGTTGCATGGTGGAATGTGACCCGAACCCAGTCATTGCGTTGATTGACAAGGAAGGCTCACTCTGGGTTTCAGGGGCCTCTTCAAAGTCGTCATCCATAATTTCGACGAAAAATAATCGTTTGCATCGGTGGCCACGGATCCACTTTTCATCACAGTTGTAGCATAATCCTTTTTCTTGTCGTGCAGCAGCTTCAGCCCGAGTTAATTTTTTAAACGTAGGGTTGTAATTCTTCTTTACTGGTGTCGGCTCAGGGATAACGGAGTGAGGAATTTGAGTACTGGACCTACCGGATCCATATGTACTGCTGTTTGTTAAAGTCGCAGTTGCGATGAATTTGCGCTCGCTGCTTCTGGCGAGCATCATGGTTGTGTCAAGATCAACGGGTTCCTGGTATTCGACCTCCACGCGTACTGCCTCGCGAAGTCCAGCCATAAAAATTTTGATTTGCATGCGGGTCGACACTCCAGCTGTTCGGGCTAGCAACTGCTGAAACTTAGTAATATAAGACTCTAAGTCAGACGTTTGCTTTAAATTCACCAGATCACCCTCCGTGTTGTGGCTGCTTGGGGGCCCAAATCGTTTTGAACAACGGATATAGAACTCCGTCCAGTTAAGGCTTGTTCCTGCTGGATCTAACTGATCTGCCCAAAGTTGGGCATTACCAGTCATGTGAAAAGTAGCCAACCCTACTTGTGCCTGCGGTTGGATGCGCTGTTGCACGAAGAACCGCTCGCACCGCTTCAGCCACGCTAATGGATCACTGGATCCATCGTACTGGGGAAACTCCAACTTGGAGTAGCGTGGAACCATCCCATCGTCTGAGTCGCGTTGGTGGTTATCGGTATGCCGTGGCCGCCCAGCATGTGGACTGGATGATGGAGGATCCTGCAACAATTGGTTGAGAGTGTTTGACAGGCTGGTCACAGTTTTGCTCATCTCAGCAAACGCTGCTGGAATTCCTACCAAGTTGGTGACGGTGTTCTTGATATCGGCCAACTGTTCTTCAACGTCAATTTGACGTTGATCGACGCCTTGTAATAAGGCCTTCAATGCTTCAGTTGTCACCGGTGCGTTGCCCATCGTGCCCAAATCTGATACCAAATTGTTAAGGAGGCGAGAGCTAGCCCTAGTCCAGGGATGCGTTCGAGATATTAATCGGGAACGAGAAAAATAATCAGCAGAGTTTAATGAAGCTATTCTTGTTAAACTAATCGGCGCCCGACCTTGTCAAGACGCACAAATTAATTCTCCAAAAACGTACTTTATTTCATAGCAAAAACCCCTTTATATAGAGAGGCTGCTTAGAGTTCTAAATAGGAAAGAAACAATAATTAGAAACAAGACTAGAATCAGGACTTAAAAATAGAATTAGGAAACAGTATCCTTGTTTCCCAGTTCAGCCATATAAAGTAACTAGAATAAGGAAATAAACTATAATTAGGAAACCAACTATAATTAGGAAACCAACTAGAATTAGGAAACTATATCCTATTCCCAACTTCAGCCACTTCCAGATGTAGACTCTCGGGCCCTTGGACCATTTATGCGTCGTTTATAAGCGTGACCCCAAAAAGAGTCCACAACACATACCCAAAAAAGAATTGAGAAAAGAAAAGAAAAGAAAAAAGGAGGGAAAAGGAACAAAAGTTAAGAACAGATTGTGCTTTGTACCGTCTTTTCAGAATCATTCAATTTGTTCCACGACTCCCCGATAATCCTACTGATCTCCCTATCCTTCCCCTGAAAGAATGGTTTCAGTTTTGCGTGCTGTTCTTGAAAGAAAAAGTTATAACCACTTCTGTTAGGCTTTGGACGGTCAGGATCTCTCCTTTTGATTTCACATTTCTTCCTACGCTTTCTCTTAACCACTCCTGATGTGTAATTATCACTGCTATTTGCAGGGACAATTTGCATTTGGGACACGGTTTGGTTCTGTTGGACTGCCTGGTCTACAGGGGCATATAGGACGCCTTTGAGCTCTTCTGATCCGATTTTTACAGTTATAAGATACCCACTATCAAACTTCCCATCAATAACACCATACACCTCTGACCCTGCTGGAGTTCCAACGGTTTCTGCAAGCACATACAAATAGTAGAACTCAAGGCAATGTTTGTGCGTCCATGATGTTTTCAAATGGCAATCTCACTTATATTTTCTTTAACAATGTTAACCATTAAGCAATTTCTCAATAATCACTTAAATGAACCACTTATGAAAAGTACAAGCAACCTAACCAGAAAAGTAACTTGACTTACTTGGATGAAACAAATGTCACTGACACTTTCCTATTAAAAAAGTCAGGAGACTCAACTCCTTCAACCATATAACCATATTACACAGGCCCTAAGGATTCATGTGGTAGCCAGTTCTGGCTTATAGCAAATTACATAGTAAGTAACTTCTGACTTATTCAGCATAGTTGGAGATTATTACTAATTGCTTTTTCTCTGAAAAAATATTAACAGATTTTGCCATTTCAGCCAAATAATTCTGAAGAGTGGGTTTAATTGTCTACAGCTAGATAACATTAAAAAATAAAAATCATGCATGACACAATGTATTGAATCTGGCCATGAAATGATGAAGATTAGAAAAGAAATTAAAATAAAATCAATGAAATAAAATCAATCAAAAAAATATTCTCTGTGTAGTAAGCATATTTTACTTGCTTTAGTTCTTATTTAGTAGAAAAGAGAGAGTGAAAAATGTGTACCCGCTGCTACTTTTTCTGTTTGTGGAAGTGGCACGTCGGCTTGAATGTAAGGCACCTTTACTGTTTTAGGCAGCCGACTAGGTGGAGCTGTAATCATGGACACATTGTGCAAAGCGTCTGCAGATGATCGATCACATTTTCAGTTAAACAAAAAGACTCTCATATAAAACAAGGGAAAGCTTTGGAGATTTTTCACAAACCAGCAGATGGAGATGGGGTCCAACATTTAGCATTAAAAAAGTAGATCCGCTCATAGTGCTGAAGCAATGAAGTATAATATTTCCGCAGAATGAAAGAAGCATTTGTAGCCGAAGATGGAAAACTAAAACTCATAGTTACTTCTTTCCATCTTTTCTCTCCAACAACCTGAAATTCCCAGCTCATGTAAAAAATCAGTTACTCTTAAAATAGCTTTTAAAAATAATCATTAGAAGCAATTCCAAGTTAGATAAACATGATATGTATAGTTTAACCCATGCCCACATGGTTTCTGTTAGCACCTTGAGACACAATTGGTGACACCATAAACGATCCTTGAGGGTATAAGGCGTGAACAAAAGCATGCAAATTATAACTATATACTCCTTATTAAATACAAATTATTATCAATTTAAGAACATGTCATTGCACAGATACTACCTTTGTCCATATTAAGAGTCGTGTTCAACAAACTGTTATATGCCATCATTCCTTCATATATATACTCTTACATATATACTCTTACAGTTGTCATATTTAACTTGTTATGATCCCTTTTTAATGGAAAATGTACATAAAAATTGCTCTATGCATTGAAATTTGAAACATGAGTACATGTATCTTTCTAAACTGTTGGAGACTTGGAGGGAAAGAAGGATGAACATTGGTTATGACATATATACCATATGCAACGTTTAGTTCCTAGCAATTCCTTATGCTGATGAAATCCATGTTAATTGTTGACCCATAGAAAAGGAAATGGATTCATTTCCATGAGTCCCAAAACAGGGATCCTGAAAGTTGCATTTCGAAGCATAATAAAAACAAATCACTTTTACCTTTGAAAAGCCACCCCTAGAAGTAACTTCCACAAAGAGACGGTGTAAATCAAGGTATTTCCCACCAATAACAGGGATCCTGAAGAATCATAGTAGCATTGCAAATAAAGATTATTGAATAGAAAGAATGCAGAGGAAAGTCATTACAATTTAGAAACCAGAGATTAATCATTTTATAATGAGCCCCCAAAATAATGTGAGAAGCAAGCTTGAGAATGGCTGGGAATCAGGTACAATCGTAAAACTGATACTTATGTGCTCCAGAAAGCAAAGAAAAACAAAGCTCTTTGTAAATATTTTCTAATCATCCAAATAGAGCCTAACTGCAAGTACCCTAACTCACACACTGCAAAGCAGTCCGTTCATCTTTTTTAGGAATTATACTTTCATCCCATTCAACCCGAAAAGAACTTGTTATGGTAAACATTGGCTTAACTTTCATGCTGATAATTCTAGTACATTATGTGTGTAGCAACCATATGCAATTTCTATTGCAGCAAAGCTTAAGTTTGGATGAATATGACTAGTTTGGTAAGACTGTAAAAGTCATATTATTAAATTGGCTGAAACTCTGAAAGTAACTAAATTTTCAAAAAGGAAAGTCCTTTTGGAAAAATTCATCTCACTATTTCAGCCAAAAGTAAGTCAAAAGCTACAAAACAAACCTATAAAAGAGAATACATTTTCCATTCTGATTTAAGTGGAGCAAAATAATAGTGATCATTAAAAGAAACTACATCTATTTAAAGATGAAGGAACATACATGAACTTGGTACCAAGAGAGGCATGGAGCATCTGGAGTGTATCCATGAAGAGTTGGGGTGAGGCTATAACATCCTGATATGTAGCCATAGGAGGTGGGTATGGATAATAGCATCTTGAGGGATGCAGTTCCCTAAGTGGCATTGGGCTATCGTTATTACTGTTATTGTTGTTTTGAGGTGTAGAAGATGATGTTTCCATTTCAGGTGCGACTTTTATCAAACACCTCCTACAACAAACATGTATGTATAAACATGCAACTAGCTACTCAAAGATGGTTCCTTTTTCCCCTGAAAAGAAGCCAAAGTCAAGCCAAATGTCATTCTTATGGGGCACAATAGATAAATTTAGAAACAAAAAAGTTCAGAAGAAAAATGCTGAAGAAAATTTCGTCCTGGAAAGCTACAAACGGACAGAAGAGAGATATCATTATGATTATTACGGAGTATTATTATTAATGTGAAGAATCGAGAAGAGGTTCATAACAAGTAACGACCACCTCATTAGGTGAAGTAACTCCCTGAACCCCAACAGAAGCATAGGGTACAATATAGCTTAGCTGTCTCTCACACTCCCCTACGAAAATTTCCTTTTTGTTTAAACCAAGACAAGAATCTAATTTATTGTAGTAACGTCCTCTCCCACTCGTAGTATAGGACAAGATATAAGATGTCTTTTCTTTATTTTTGGATTAAGGAAAAAAAAAAAAAAAGAGGGTACGGACTTGCATCAAAATTCATACGCTATTTCAATTTGTCTCTAATGCAATATTTTTCACCAAAATTATAGAAATATTTTATAATATTTTAACGTGTTTTCGGATTTATGTTAAATATCCCACACCGGAAAAGTTTGGATAAACAAAGTACTATATTAACACAATAACACATGAATTATTCCTCCTATCAGGTTGACCTTTTAGGATGGAACCTCAGGTCTTAACAATTTACGATACATTTGTCCAAATATAGACGAACAATTTAGGAAAATGATTTAATTATTTTTTAACTTTTAGTTTAAAACAGAAAAATTTAGGAAAAGATTAAGATGTCAGTTAATAAAATTAATGGTTATTTTTTCAATTATACTGAGTATTTAACATTTTAAACATTTTAGTTGAACTTGAAATACCTTAAAATGAAGAATCATGAAACATTTGATACAATTAGTAGTTAAATAAGGAGATATTACCTGAAATAGGACTAAAAGGTTTGAAAAATCCAAAATAGGACTGTCATGTTTTTATTCCCAAAATATGACTAATTACTGTCATGTTTTGGCAGTACCAGACTTCAAACATGGCAGTATTTTCCAAACTTGTCTGTAATTACTCCTATTTTGGAGATAAAAAACATGACGGTTCTATTTTAGAATTTTTCAAACTCTTTTAGGGAGTGTTTGCAATTGCTTCAACTTTAAAAAAGTGATTTTTTAAAGTGATTTTGGGAAAAGTGATTAATAGTAAAAGTTGGTAGTGTTTGAGAAAAAAGTGATTATGGAAAAGTAAAAGTTGGTAGTGTTTGATAAAATAAGTACTTTTTGTGTAATAGAAAAAGTGAGAAGCAGTTTAAAGCACTCTTCTACCTGCTTCCAGCTTTTAGCTTTTAAGTGATTAATTTAAGCAGAAGCTGTCATTTCAAAACACTCATTTTAACTTTTTTTAAGCCAAAAGCTTAAAAGTGCTTTTTTTAAGCAAACCCAAACACTCTTTTAGTCCTAGTTCGGAAACTTTCCCTTAAATAAGCTAATGTCTTATTTCAATTGTAAATGTTAGGTGTTGGGTTTATATGGACATGGACAATATTAATTTATTCCTATTTTATTCGGAGTATAAAATATGATTTTAGTATATCAACTTTGGTTTGTGTGTAGTCTTAACAAAGAGCGGAATTCACAAGATCTGTGCGTAGTATTATATCATTGTTTTTGTTAGCTTACATTATGCATAATTGACTAAAGTATTAAAATGACTCCACAAAAAGAAGTTCAACTGCTTTATTAGCTTCAATGTAAATTGATGTACTCTTTACTCTCTGTTAGAAACAAATTGTAGTACTCTATGAGCTCTAATGTATATTGGTGTAATATTTACTTCATGAGAGACAAATTCAAGTACCAAAATGACATTTTGCTCTTTATTTTTTGTAAATAGAGAGTATTTAATTTAAAATTAGTTGATTATATACAGTATTTAATAAATAATGTATAAAAAGTATGAAAATGTAGATGAAACAATATTAAGAATATAAAAAACAGAATGAATAAAACGAAAATATGTATGAAAATATAAGAAGAAACAAAAATACTACAATAATTTTCAAAGAAAGATACTTGCAAGTAAATAAATACACACAAAGTATTTAATAGCCATGGTGTCATAAGATAAATTAGTGGGCTTGTACAAGGACGTTTCGATTAATTAGAATCTGTTACAGTAGCTAATCTACTGTAATGAAGCTATCAAATATGGAAATACAATGGAGAGTTTGTAGAGAAGATAGAATGGAACGTAGCATAGGAAGATTAGGAGCTGAGCTCAACTAAGAAATGTCAAGAGGAATATTATTCATATCTGGATTACAATCAGGGGCGGAGCCAGAAAAGTATGTGAGGGGGGTCGAAGTTTAATTACACACAGCATCAAAATGATGAATAGTTATTATACAATACATGAATTAAATGTTTCATATGTAACTAAGGTAAATGATAATTTAATGAGTCTTTTTTACTTCATGTATTGATATATATGTAATATATCATAATATTCACACAACTAATTACTGAATAAGGTGTTTAATTTTTAAATTTAAGAATATAATCAAGTCATACATCAAAATTTGCTTATTTGAAGTTAAGATGGTGCTGATTTTTTCAGAAGTCATAACTTTTTACCCGTAATGAGTTACGAGACCCATAATATATCAAATCAAATGTATTTCAAAGCTCTACATTCTTGAACTTTCAGCGGGGTCGACTGACCACCCTGACCCCCCTTGCCACCGCCATTATAATTTACAATGAAAGGTTTTATTTATACACCCTCAGTCATATCTGATTGCTCTAACGGTATTAGCTAAGTTGTAACAACTGCTAAAAATAGAAGGTTTCATAATTAAACGGTAACAGAATCCTTCTCAGTCAAAGAGACAGTCGTTTTGAGAGTCGGCCACCACAATAAACCCTAACAAGTAATCAACTTTTTTTCAACCGGCAGCAAAAAAGTGATGACAATTAGCAACCGCCATTAACATCTTCAATGAAAGGTAACGTGACATCCTCTTGGAGATTCTTGGTAGGGTTATGCTTGACTACTCTTCTTTTGTTATTGTGTTAGTTTCGGAAAGAACCACCACAATAATCCTCTTGGAGATTGTGGTGGTTCTTTCCTTGGTACTAGCACTCTAGGGTGCTTGATCTCTCTCAGTGTGTGGAGTTGCTTTGGTGTCCTAACCAGCTTCGCTTGGTCAGGGTTTCTGTCTATTTTCTTTTGGGCTACGTAGAGAATTAGAAAGACATAAAAATTATTTTTGACTCAGCATTTGTCTGCGTCTATCTAGAATGAAGTAAGAAGAAGAATTTAGTATTCACTCATATATGTTGCAGCAGCGCCTACTCCTCTGGAATCACCTTCGTGCTAGGAAGAGTTTTGTGGAAAGACTTTATTTAAGTGTTATTTTTTCTTTGGTAGTACTTTTTTTAGTTTTATTTCAAATAGGTTTGGTTTAGATTTCTAGATATTTGGAATACCTTTGATAGACAGTGTTTTGGTTCTGATTGTTTGGGCTTAAATTTGTCTGATTTGTTTCTAGTGAGTGAGGTTGTTTTGTACGGAGTATGAGATAGCTGACTCTAGTTCCTGGGTTAACAATCCGATCTCTAATAACTATCTCTAGGATGTTTTGCATGTTTTCTCGATATTATTATAAAAGTCACTCTTTTATATTAAAAAAATAATAATGGGTCCTTCTCCAACCTGGGGTACTTACAAATTACATATTAATAATTTTACAAATTTACATGAATCTAATCATGAATGAACGTCGGTATAAAATAATTTAAGACAAAAGATGCAATTTATTTAGTAAAAAGTATTTGCAACAAAGATAGAAAAAATCGGCAACGGGGTAGACTGTAGTAAAGCTCGTTTTGGTAAACATTATTCAACTGAAATGATTGAATATTCTGAATTTGGAGAAGTACTTTGGTTGAATACACACTGTAATTTAATCAAATAACATAGTGATTGAGTTAGTAGAAAAGTTCTTTTTAGCCTTGTGGATTGACATCAATTACTAAACATTAAGTTAATCATTCTACTTTTTGGAGAAAGTTTTTCAAACACGTTTACATTTGATTGACTAGTTTATAGATTTTGTCACCTCTAATTTTAACTCTACTTGTATTCTTTTTTCAAAATGTAACCTCTAATTATAACACTACTTTTATACGATAAAAAACACTCCTTTTATACTAATCACAACCTTTTTCACTACAGAGTAATATTCACCAAAGACTGAACCAATTTGGCATTTTTCACTAATGAACCAATTTATCAATTCTAGGTTATAGCTGACTCACAAACCTTAAGAGCTTTTTACTTGCTTATATATGGGCTTGCTTTAAGAATCAAAGCCTTAGCTTGCTTATTTTGTTATTAGATACTATGTACAATAAACTACATCACCACCCTACCTTCACTTTTTTACTTGCACATCACTTTGACTATTTTTAATACTCAATTTCATAATACAGATATCAAAGACAAACATTACCACAAATTTTAGAAATATTAACACAATTTATTTTTATATATTGATAAAAATTGTGACCATTGTACGATATGTGAATAATACATTTAAAGGATTGCAACCAAAGCGATACAAAATGTAACTCTTATAGCTATTTACAAACTTTCAACACACATTTTCGCTCTCATGAACTTTATTGAATTTTGATGTTGATGTGTTTAGTTCCCTCACTTAATTTAGTGTCTTCTAAAACACAATGTAATTTTCGCTTGTCTCTAATTTTGAAATATTTAAGAGATCATACATCGTTACTCATCATAATTTTGTTACCACCATAGTTGTTCATTGTCATTGAAGAAGATGTCAATCAATTATACACTTGTTGCACAAATGAAGATTGAAGATACTTAATTGCCAACGTTGCAAAGGGCAGCTGCAAATGAAGTGATCCTTGATGATGCATCAAGGCTGGTGATTCAATTTTAAGTACTTGCAAACATGGTGCAGGGTTTAATGATTTAACAAAATAAGGTCAGCCAATTTTTCATCTTTTCATCAGGCTTAACCCACAGCCAATTATTACACCAAACCAAACGTTTTCCTTAATCAAAACCTCTTTATGATATAGAGTACTCCCTCCGTCCCCTTTTAAATGTCCCGTTTTATCATATTGGGATGTCCCTTTTTAATTGCCCTATACCTTATTTGGTAAACTTTGTGTGGCTCAAAATCATTCTTACTTTATTCTTACTTTATCAATTAATATCAACCACACAAACTCACTTTTCTTAAAACTCGTGCCACCATCTCCCGTCTCATTTAAAAGGGGACGGGGAGTATGTATCATTAAGATTGGATTGTACATTTGTACAAGACCTAGACATGACCCTACGTCCCTACGGGTAGCCCTTCTTTTTACAACAATAGCTAAGGGTATATCCTTTAGCAGCCAAAGAAAAGGTCTGATGTATAAATAAATGAGAAAAATGAACCAATAATAAGGGAAATTTTAGTACACACCTTTTCATACTTTATTTATGGGGTAGCTAGAATATCCATTAATCCCTCCCTGATATTTCAATATCACCACTGAATTGCCTCAGTTGCGTAATCCCACTCCGATTTCCCTCTCTTAATTGCTGAAATGCCTCATCAGTTGCTTGTATTAGTTAGTAATCAGTAATATAAAACCTTAAAAATAAAATAAAGTATACACTTAGCTTATAAGACATCATAACCACCGAGATCAACAAATTGAGTGATCTTTAAAATAATTAAGCATAATCATACTTACCAACAACCATGAGAAAAAAGAGAGCCAAAAAGAAAGGTTTATGTGCGGCCTTCTTTCAACCATATCAAATTATCTGTCAATAATATATGGTTTTATATAAATAACAATAATTAATTATTGTAAAGCTCGCTGTAACCGAAAACTACTGTATATTTTTCTGAATTTTATAATGGGTATTTGGAGTGATGATGATGTTGAGATAATGATAAGAAAACGGATGGTTATTTGATTGGGCAGTTGAATAATATTTTCAAAACAAACGAAACAAACTATAAATACAGGGATAAGATTACAAGAATACTTAAGGATTATGATAATAAATTATTGTTTTCTTTGACGACTGATAATAAATTACTTTAGTTGTTTGTTTTTAGGAAATTTTAGTACCTGGTAAATCAGTTATTGAGAAAAATGTTATCTATAAATATGTGTCCGGAAAAAAATGGTTTCCTGGAACATCTTAGATGCCAAAATCGTTTTCACAAAAGTATAAAGGATCACCAAAAAAAGTTTCTTACAGCAAATTAAAAAAGAAACAAAAAAAAGATCTCCTTACCAAAATACTTTGTAAATCAGTAAATTGTATACAGTAGAACAAAACATGGTTCAACGAAACATTTCTTGGCCAATGATCGATACAAACGAATATTTTTCAAAAACAAAATTCACAAACTAAAAAATTAAAAGTAATGAGTTTGATGGAGATTTGGGTGCCGCGATCACAGCTACATTTAAGTTTTAATAATGAATAATTGCCAATAATTTAAACTTTGGAATAAGTCACCAAATGCCCTTGACCACTAGCTGTTTCTCGTGTTTCATGCGGAATTCCGATTTAGTTATTAAAAAAAAAGCTTCATGGTCTTCCATCTAAAAGTATGATTTAAATAAAATATAGAAAAAATTGAAAATAATAATCTCAACTATTGCCGATACACTGATAATAATCTCAGCTATTGATTATTTTTGTATAATCCCAACTATATGGACCTTCCGCCAATAGTGATCCATGACCAGATATTACCTCCTATAACAAGTGAATTTTAAATAGAAATTAAGCGTAAAATGATATTTATAAGGATTACGTGTTATATCTCTTCTCATCCACTTTAGAAACTACAAGAATTTATTTATAGGGACCATTATTGGCGGAAGGTCTCTAAAGTTGGGATTATTCTGAAATAATCAATAGTTGGGATTATTAGGAGCGGTCTGCCGATAGTTGGGATTATTACTATTAATTTTTCCTAAAATATAATAAGCATAAGGGACAATTACCAAAAGAGGAGTAAAACATAAGAGTTGTGCAAAAATTGGAGTAAAGTTTTTAAATTTCCAAAATGGGAGTACTTTTTTCTAACTGGACAAGGATGCACCTGCGTGCCTGATGCTGCCTGCTGCTAAAGTACCGCCGCCGGAGCTCCGAGGTAAAAAATTTCTATACGGAGTATTTCTATAAGAATAAAATGTGACAAAAATTACGTTAAATATATATTTTTATAGTCATGATCATAATCACTGGGGAGTTACTAAATCATTTATTGTCCACTAGGCTCAGGTTAATCATATACGGAGTATTTTTTGTGTGCAGTGGTAGAAATCGGCTTAAATTTAAAACACATCATTTAGATAGTAGGTAATCTGACAAAATGACTCCTAACAACCGTCGTCCCTCGAACCAGACTCGGAGTTTATCACCGTAGTGAATAACTCGTTGATCCATTAATGGACACAAATGAGCCAAAGACGGTTACCACAGTCATTGCATCACCCACATCCAAATCTACAGTCTTATAGCAGAAAAAAATAAAGAAATTGTGATCAAAGAAATTAAAAAGCAAAAAAAAACAATAAAATAAAACTCTTGCTCCTTCTTCTAGAGCACCACTTCCAACTACGTTCTGGAACCTCCTATCTATTTCTGATACTCTGGCGGCGGTTCAGGAGGACGATGAGCCTGCAGTACTGTAGTTTCTTCCTCACTCTGCCTCTTATTCATCATGTTCTCTCTCAAGTCTCCACTTTCGCCACCATTCACAGTTGACCTTGAATCCAGATCTGTTCCAGCTTTTAACCCCAAGCTTTGTCCATGACCTTTACTCGATGATGTCATCCTTTCACTATTGCTACTTTGTTCCTTGTTCGCACGAAAAACTCGTCGCAGGAGAGAACCCTGAATCGAAAAACCGCCCAATCTATTAGATCGGCAGAAGAACTAAAACCTAACTAGAGGGACAATGACCGTTGTTACCTTAATTATGAAGTTGGAGAAAGAGAAGAAAACGAGCAGAGACCAACGAGCATCAGTCGGTAAGCATCCGCCCAAGCAGCGTGGCGGCTAGGGCTTCCATAAGCATACGCCTTTGCCTTCTTTTATCATATACGGAGGCGGCTAGGGCTTCCATAAGCGTACGCCTTTGCCTTCTTTTATCATATATGGAGTATTATAAATTATTTTTATGAAATAATTATTACAACATTGGATTTCATTTCTAAAAAGAAAATTCACAAATATATGTCACTTTCTCTGTCACTGATGTGACTATCACCGGGAAATGTGTCACTGTAAATATTTCAACTACTATTTCGATGACCTAAAAGAATAATTATCTTGCTGCCACCGACGACGGTTCTATATGACAATCGTTGCAGTGGTTGTTGAAGACAATAAAGGCGCAATGGTAGGGTGTCGTGCAGGGCCCAGTTGGTTAGGAATTAAAAGGTAATGAAATTTAAATTAATTAGTTAAAGGTCATTCACATTTAAAAAAAGATAGTTGTCATACTTCTTGTTTTTGTTTTCAAGTGTGTGGAGGTAATATTTATCTCATTTTTTTTTGAAAAATTACATGTACAAATTACAAAACCTCATCCTATAAGCGTTAGGTATATATTAGGTAGCCGCCGAGCCTTGAGGAAAGGTTTGGCGTGCAGCAGTGTGTGGCGTATCCCTAAGTGTAAGGTGTTAGAGACTGTATGACCAAGCACTATCCGTGAAATTGAAGATGAAGGTCTGCGCTACCATGCTAACAAGGGAGGATTTAAAGAAGATAGTCTCAAGGTGGGAGATTGTAAGGTGTTAGAGACTGTATAACCAAGCTCTATCCGAAATTTTTGGTTCGTTTTTGACAATCAAGTTTTTCGTACAGTCCGTACAGTTTAGGTCGTACAGTTTACTATTTTTTTGGAAACGCGTCCTAGTTGCCTTGGGGTTATGTTTTACTTCTCTATAAATACAAGCTCTCTCCCTTGTAATCATAAGATCCGAAAATTAATAACATTCCTGGCTTGGTAGCGCCCCCAGACGTAGTCCTCTGTGGCGAACTGGGTTACCAAATTCCGTGTGTTCTTTAATTGTTCTTCGTGTTGCGTAAATTAATTCCTAACACTAACTTTGTCTAAGGCTTGATTATCAGGCCAACGACTTGTGCCGATTGTTGCTCGGTGAGTTTTGAAAGGATGAAAGGCAATTTGCTAATCTTATAGCTGATTGGATTGCATAACTTCAAAGGAGGGATGATTTGGAAGGGCAGTGGGCTTGAAGGATGTTCTTGAGCAGTGGACATGGAGATCGGATGACAATGAAGGATGACTCCATTCTAGACCGTTCATGCTTTAATCCATCCTGGCGGTTGGCTGTCCTGGCTACATATCAAGGGGAGATCGAGGTATAGGCTACCGATTGGAAAATGTGGATCATCAGAGCGGCAGATTGATGCTTGAAAAGGAGGGGACAAGTTTGGTTCTTCACGGAAGAGGAGGGTCTATGGGCGGCGGCGTTGAGGGTTTTTGGTTGAGTTTGACGGAAGAGGAGGGCCTTGGGCCCCGGACCGGCCGAGCTGGGCCTGTCCACCAAATGTTGATCCCATGGCCCGCCTATTGAATCTCCCGGGTTGGGCCCTGGGCCTAGTTCCGAATCATTAGGCCGGGTCAGGCTGCACAGTACTGGGCCAGGTCCCGGGTTGGGCCGACCCGTTCCAATCCACCCCTACTCCAAACACATGACACACCTTTCCTAAAATCAGTAAGCTAAACTAAAACTCACTCCAACAAAGCCATGACACACCCTTAGAGGTTTAAGGAGTGTTTGTGTTTGCTTAAAAAAGCGCTTTTCAGCTTTTGGTTTAAAAAGCTGAAAAGAGTGTTTTCAAATTACAGCTTCTGCTTAAATTAATCACTTAAAAGGTAAAAGCTGGAAGCAGGTAGAAGGGTGCTTTAAACTACTTTTCACTTTTTCTATTACACAAAAAAGTACTTATTTTACCAAACACTACCAACTTTTACTTTTTTAGAATCACTTTTTTCTCAAAACACTATCAACTTTTACTAATAATCACTTTTCCCAAAATCACTTTTTTAAAGTTGAAGCAACTGCAAACACTCCCTTAGATCGTTTGACCACCTTATGGTTTTTGCTTTTTATGATGTACAATTTACAAAGCATCCCGCATCAAAATCATTTCTGATGCGATTAATCATGCATGTGACTCCACATTCAACTGCCTGGTAAAACACTAAAACCCAATCATCAGGGCCGGTCCCGAGAATCTAAAGGCCCTGTGCAATAAAAAAATGGGCTTTCCTTCAATATAAGTAGAAATAGAACATAAATAAGGATGATTACAGTGATAAATTATTAATAATTTATTTTTAAAATACATGTTACTTATGAACAAAATAGTAAAAATAAAAGTATTCAATAATAAAATACATTTCATTAAAAAGGGACATTATTTGGACACATAATTACTGCCAAGTTACTAGAATTCCTCCACTAATCTAATACTGGAGTACCTATTTGTTAGAGAATTTAAACTAATAGACTACCTGGTCAATTATAAAAAAATTAGTTTAATTACCTGGTCAATTACCTAGAGAAAATCAGAAATAACAACCTAAGCTGCTAAATTTCATCAAAAATTAGAAGGCGTAATGGAGTAATGGCCCTAATAATTATAATAAATAATTACAATCAGCAATGAAATCTCAATATATCACATAATAATTAAGAAGATTAATAAACTATAATCTTTAATTTTTAATAAAAAAATTAAAGATTGACGGATTGTGGCGTGGTTAGCGACTCATGCGAAGGAGCAGACTGGAGGCTCCGACGTGAGGTGCAGTCGAAGCCCTAGACAGTGGTCGGCATTTCTCGAGGTCGTCCGTCTCTGTTTCTTTGCTTGCAGAGAGATGAGAGGAGAAGGTAGTTGACGGATGGTGCTTGTAGCTTAACATGTGCGTAAAAATCAGAGGGCTTCTATTTTTCTTGGGCTTAGACTATCTAATAGGCTAATACTACTACTAACTTTTTAAATTTTTTGGGCCTTCAA